GTTCTTTTTTTTTCTAGGATTTCAGAAGGGACGTTAGGCACTTTTTGGGCTCGATTTTGGAGCGTTTTGGGCACGAAATTAGGTGGCGTTTCAGCGTTTCAAGTGGTGGCCATGAGCAGCAGCAGCAACAGGAGCAACAGGAGGGTTCTATGTCTCATTGCACAAACAGTGGTATAAACATTGGTCGAAAACTATAAACATTGGTATATTATTGTGATTGATTTTGCGTCATGTTCGGCACGAAATTAGGTGTCTGGCTGCTGGTTTCTTACTTTATTAGAGGCAGTAGCAGCAATCAAAATTAGAGATCAAATTGGACAAAATTAGATTTCTATTGGACAAAGTTGGATTTCTAGTAGGATTTCAGAAGGGACGTTTCGGCCCCCGAAAACTTATTCTTGTGATTGATTTTGCGTCATGTTCGGCAGGAAATTAGGTGGTGTTTTGCTGTTTCGGCTGTGTTTTAAAAAAGGTGTCTGGCTGCTGGTTTCTTGCTTTATTATAGGCAGCAGCAGCAGTCAAAATTAGAGATCAAAATTGGACAAAATTGGATTTCTAGTAGGAGTTCAGAAGGGACGTTTCGGCCCTCGAAAACCTAATATTGTGATTGATTTTCCGTCATGTTCGGCACGAAATTGGGTGGTGTTTTGCTGTTTCGGCTGTGTTTTAAAAAAGGTGTCTGGCTGCTGGTTTCTTGCTTTATTAGAGGTAGCAGCAGCAATCAAAATTAGCGATCAATCAAATTTGACTAAAACTAGATTTCTATTGGACAAAATTGGATTTCTAGTAGGATTTCAGAAGGGACGTTTCGGCCCCCGAAAACCTATTATTGTGATTGATTTTGCGTTATGTTCGTCACGAAATTAGGTGGTGTTTTGCTGTTTCGGCTGTGTTTTACAAAAGGTGTCTGGCTGCTGGTTTCTTGCTTTATATAGAAGCAACCGCAGCAATCAAAATTAGAGATCAAAATTGGACAAAATTGGATTCTAGTAGGATTTCAGAAGGGACGTTTCGGCCCCCGAAAACTTAATATTGTGATTGATTTTCCGTCATGTTCGGCACGAAATTGGGTGGTGTTTTGCTGTTTCGGCTGTTTTAAAAAAGGTGTCTGGCTGCTGGTTTCTCGCTTTATTAGAGGCAGCAGCAGCAATCAAAACTAGAGATCAAATTTGACTAAAATTAGATTTCTATTGGACAAAATTGGATTTCTAGTAGGATTTCAGAAGGGACGTTTCGGCCCCCGAAAACCTATTATTGTGATTGATTTTGCGTTATGTTCGTCACGAAATTAGGTGGTGTTTTGCTGTTTCGGCTGTGTTTTAAAAAAGGAGTCTGGCTGCTGGTTTCTTGCTTTATTATAGGTAGCAGCAGCAGTCAAAATTAGAGATCAAAATTGGACAAAATTGGATTTCTAGTAGGATTTCAGAAGGGGCGTTTCGGCCCCCGAAAACTTAATATTGTGATTGATTTTCCGTCATGTTCGGCACGAAATTGGGTGGTGTTTTGCTGTTTCGGCTGTGTTTTAAAAAAGGTGTCTGGCTGCTGGTTTCTCGCTTTATTAGAGGCAGCAGCAGCAATCAAAATTAGAGATCAAATTTGATTAAAATTAGATTTCTATTGGACAAAATTTGATTTCTAGTAGGAGTTCAGAAGGGACGTTTCGGCCCCCGAAAACCTAATATTGTGATTGATTTTCCGTCATGTTCGGCACGAAATTGGGTGGTGTTTTGCTGTTTCGGCTGTGTTTTAAAAAAGGTGTCTGGCTGCTGGTTTCTTGCTTTATTAGAGGCAGCAGCAGCAATCAAAATTAGAGATCCATCAAATTTGACTAAAATTAGATTTCTATTGGACAAAATTGGATTTCTAGTAGGATTTCAGAAGGGACGTTTCGGCCCCCGAAAACCTATTATTGTGATTGATTTTGCGTTATGTTCGGCAAGAAATTAGGTGGTGTTTTGCTGTTTCGGCTGTGTTTTACAAAAGGTGTCTGGCTGCTGGTTTCTTGCTTTATTATAGGTAGCTGCAGCAGTCAAAATTAGAGATCAAAATTGGACAAAATTGGATTCTAGTAGGATTTCAGAAGGGACGTTTCGGCCCCCGAAAACTTAATATTGTGATTGATTTTCCGTCATGTTCGGCACGAAATTGGGTGGTGTTTGCTGTTTCGGCTGTGTTTTAAAAAAGGTGTCTGGCTGCTGGTTTCTCGTTTTATTAGAGGCAACAGCAGCAACAAACAGTGGTATAAACATTGGTCGAAAACTATAAACATTGGTATATTATTGTGATTGATTTTGCGTCATGTTCGGCACGAAATTAGGTGTCTGGCTGCTGGTTTCTTACTTTATTAGAGGCAGTAGCAGCAATCAAAATTAGAGATCAAATTGGACAAAATTAGATTTCTATTGGACAAAGTTAGATTTCTAGTAGGATTTCAGAAGGGACGTTTCGGCCCCCGAAAACCTATTCTTGTGATTGATTTTGCGTCATGTTCGGCAGGAAATTAGGTGGTGTTTTGCTGTTTCGGCTGTGTTTTAAAAAAGGTGTCTGGCTGCTGGTTTCTTGCTTTATTATAGGCAGCAGCAGCAGTCAAAACTAGAGATCAAAATTGGACAAAATTGGATTTCTAGTAGGAGTTCAGAAGGGACGTTTCGGCCCCCGAAAACCTAATATTGTGATTGATTTTCCGTCATGTTCGGCACGAAATTGGGTGGTGTTTTGCTGTTTCGGCTGTGTTTTAAAAAAGGGGTCTGGCTGCTGGTTTCTTGCTTTATTAGAGGTAGCAGCAGCAATCAAAATTAGCGATCAATCAAATTTGACTAAAATTAGATTTCTATTGGACAAAATTGGATTTCTAGTAGGATTTCAGAAGGGACGTTTCGGCCCCCGAAAACCTATTATTGTGATTGATTTTGCGTTATGTTTCGGCACGAAATTAGGTGGTGTTTTGCTGTTCCGGTTGTGTTTTACAAAAGGTGTCTGGCTGCTGGTTTCTTGCTTTATTATAGGTAGCAGCAGCAGTCAAAATTAGAGATCAAAATTGGACAAAATTGGATTTCTAGTAGGATTTCAGAAGGGACGTTTCAGCCCCCGAAAACTTAATATTGTGATTGATTTTCCGTCATGTTCGGCACGAAATTGGGTGGTGTTTTGCTGTTTCGGCTGTGTTTTAAAAAAGGTGTCTGGCTGCTAGTTTCTCGCTTTATTAGAGGCAGCAGCAGCAATCAAAATTAGAGATCAAAATTGGACAAAATTAGATTTCTATTGGACAAAATTGGATTTCTAGTAGGATTTCAGAAGGGACGTTTCGGCCCCCGAAAACCTATTATTGTGATTGATTTTGCGTTATGTTCGTCACGAACTGCTTTCACCACCTGCCACCGTTCAACCCCTTCTCTGACATCCCTACCAGGACACCAGTTTCAATTCCAACAAGCCACCCCTGAATACTCTTTCCTTCCCCATCTCTTTGCCCCACACCACCTGCAGCACATTGCACACGGACGTGTTGACACGATTGCCGGCCAGCCAACATTCCAGCACTGCGCTTGCACTCCGCAGCTGCGCCGGCATGGTTTGCGCCGGGTGGATTACACCATATGTTACACAGGAAAAAAGCTAAAATGTTAGACTTTCTTCTCTGCTTTTTCTATAATCTTTTGGGCGTGTCCCATCATTTCGAACGGGCCATATTTCGTAGCTCTCAGCTCTCGTTGCTGCAGTCCAACTAGAATAGCTTCAATCCAAAAAAAAGTTGTGTAGCTATCTTATACCACCAACTAAGCTGGAGCTTTCTTGTCATGATAGCTTTTGGCAATTTGGTCTTATGTCTCTTGGCCCATATGCACATAGATGTGTTGTTGGGTTCAGAGTAAGCTTCTAATTCAACTGTCTCGTCATGCAGCCAGCACCTTACTGCAATTGATCCGAAAGCTGCACCAGTTACGCACATAGCCCTTCGTGCATGATCCTGCATGTGATAATGCATTTGCCAAAGTTTCTCGTCACACAGCTTGCCTGTTTCACCAGCAATCCCCGATTCTTTACCGGGGTCGGCGGCAGGGGCGGCAGCCCTTAAATATATAATATATACTAGAGAGAGAGAGAGAGAGAGAGATTGCGTTGTGTATTCACATTCATTCCCCAATCTTCCTCAAGAATACCGTCCCACAGAATTATTGCTGGATCTTTTGAAAAGCTTCACAAAGGGAGCGCTCCAGTGGTTCACTCCCACATCTGTGGGAGTCAGGGATCCTAGTTTCCAGACCAGACTTCCCACTATAACACCACAGACCATCTGTGTGACGTCTGTGATGTCAAGCTTGATCAGTTCGGCCAGATGGTCCCAAAGGTCCTGCAGCTATCCCAGCTATCCGAGCTATCCGGACCATGGACACCCGACACCCTTGCCAGGGAATAGGCCACTATTGGATTGATCGCATTGACGGTCTGCTTCACAAAAGCCTAGGCCAATTACATCTCTTTGGTACACATAGATTTGGGGATACAAAACCGTGCAACCTGCTCGAGGTACGGCGTTGCTTTTGCTTAAAGAGAATTTGAGAATTCAGATTTTGCAAAAGCCTTGTTCTTCGCTTTTCAGAAGGTCGTGTCCCATATTGCCCCCCAACTCTCACTCCTTTGTGGGGTACCGGGAATACAGTCCTCTTCACGGAATGCCCATTTTTGCAAAGCCGGAGCATTCCTGTTTTTGGCTGCTTGTGCCATGTTTGCCCAATTCTGCCACATCAAAGTGCACAAAGGGGTCGGCAACCTTGAAAATCTGGGATGCAATCGAATGTGCTCAATGACATCTGACTTCATGAATGTTTCAACAAGTGAAGTATGAAACGTCTGAGGGAGCAATGTGCCAATCTCCTTTCAAGAAACAAATGGACCAGAAATTCAAGCGTGACAACGCATAAATCTTCCAGCATGACGCCTTTCCTAATCCAGTACAGGGGCATGACATGTCATGTCAAATGTCATGACTTGCCGATAACTCAACCAAGCTTCCTGGACTTTGCCATTTCCAAGGCAGTCCGCAACAGCTGTTCCTCGCCCATCTTCATCTTTGAAAAAAGTGCTAGCATGGCGTTGCGCGCCTGGGTGCGGAGCAGGGCCTCTTCATGGGCCGTGTAGGCCATTGCCACTCTGAGGATCGGGATGTCGCTGTCTGTCATCAGGAATGGCAGCGTCTCCACGTCTATTCGCATGCTGACTGTTTTGAGACAAGAGACGAAGTTCATCCGATTCTCCTGACGCTGAAATACAGATGAATCAAAAAGAAAGAATTGAGTTTGCGAATAGAGCTCTATTGCGGGTCAGATGGATTGAGCCATTGTAACAGAACTTGCTTCGCGCCGCAAGGGGCACAACTTGCACAACTTCCCAGCTCCTCAATTCGAAGATCTGGCTCACCAGACCACAACACATCCAGCTCGCGCCCAATGATCAACCGTTGGAAGACATCCTCCTGCGGTCTTTGTCATTCCAGGGATTCCAGAGCAACATCGAACATGTATTGGATGTGGGCATGCGAATTGGTCATTTTGGCGCCAAGCTCCAATCATGAACAACTTTGAAATCATGATGGGAGAAGCAATAGGCGACTTTGCATGTCAATACAGTAGGCATATGATCTCATTTTTCTGCATGTGTGTGAATGTGTGCCCCTGTGTCTCACAAAGCTGTCCTCCACATTCAGCAGGATTAGGCACAGCGACTGCCACGCCTGTGCGCGTATGATCTCGGGAGTTGAGCTCGCTAGCAGTGCTTCTACTAGAATACTCAACCCCCTCTTCTCCAAGAAAGATGCCACGACTGCATCATCCTCCCTGGCTCCAAACAATGCACGCGCCAGGTCATGCAGGCTTTGGATCACCAGGTTGGCTTCATGGGGCGTGTGGGGCCAATGTTCCTTGAACTCCTGATGTCCATACGACAACGGAAACTTCAAGGAGGACAGCAGTCCCTCCATGCCCTCTTTTGTCAATGTCTCTTGCGACTGCAAAGGCTCATTTGGCTCTTGCAATGACGGCACAGACTCCGCGACGTAGGTGAGCCAGCCGCTAATTGTCTCTAACATAGGCTCGAACAGTACCACGTAGAGAGACAGGTGTTCTGTCGCAACGCAGTTTATTTGAAACCTGCTTGAGCCCAAGCTGCAAACGAGCACTTGGGTTTCAGCCTGACCAGAAAAGCTCAGAGGCTCAGGCCACGTGAGGTGAAGCCCCGTGGCAACAAAGTCAGAATTTGGAGTTGGATGACATGATTTTCTTGATCCGCCCTTCCTTTGATGCAAAGCTTTTCCAGCTCTATGGCGGTGGAAACTCCCCTGGACCCATGTCGTCATAGGAGTCATAGCTGGGCATGGAAAATCCTCGGGAAAAACATCGAACTAAACGATCATTTTGCAATGGTTGATGATAGATTAGATAGTTGATTAAAAGTCAGTTGATTATAGTTGATTAAAACATCTATGGTTGATGATAGTTGATTAAAAGATATTAAAAGTCAGTTACCAACTCCATCCCATCGCGTCTACCTCGACTTGCCGCAGGAATTGCGACATCTGCTGCAACGCAGGTTGGACCTGGCGCGGTCGAACAAACATCGGTGGGACCCAGCATTTTTTATTCATTGGATTGGTTTGAGGGAAAATTGAAACTGGAACCCCCTGCCTATATTTGACTGGGAAAACCATGGTTTCCGATTAAGATTCCTAACAAAACCAATCCAATGATTTATTGTTTGAATTGAGATCAAATTGACATGAATCAAATATAACCGGGATATGTAAATTATAGTTAACTCACTTGTCTGAAATTATTTTATCTGTATCTAGTTAACATGAAATTACCATTTATCAATTGCTGATTTATGGTTTATGAGTCATTGAGGAACATCAACCCCACATCTGGTTGAAATAAAAACATATTTGAAACCACCAACCAGATTATCAAATTACCATCATAAACCACCAACCAAATAATCAAATTATTAACATCACAAACCACAAACAAGATCATCAAATAGATAACTTAATTAACATCACATTAACATGTATATCATCAAATGAGCCATGGTCAATACTCACTATATGGTTGATGGTCATCCCATCCATAATAAGGATGGTTATTATAAATCCCTATGAACCATTGGATGACTAGCCCCTATTAATGGTTATTAACCATGAGTATTGACCATAGCTCAAATATGGTTGGATACTCTTCCATTTTTCCGGAGACACAAATTGGACCACAGCCCCCACCCTCTAGGAATGCTAACTTCAACCAACCATGTTTCGGGGACCTTCGGGAGCCGCAACGGCAGGAACGAGACAAACTCCGAATGCAAACCACGCAAAGTTCTGACAAAATAGTGGTGATACTGTGATACCTGATATGCATCCATCATCATCATCATCATCATCATCATATATCATCATCATCATCATCATCTTCATCATCTTCATCATCCAAAATCCAACAAATACACATCCAACAGTTCTCAAGATCTTCAAGACATCTTGGTACGTCCCGTATTGGGTCACCGTTCGAGGTCGTTCCCTGGTCGCCTCAGCACAGTATTGATCGCACAAGAGCAACAGCGAGGCCCAAAAGGCCGAATATTCCATGAGGCGCTGGTCAAAGCGCTCCTCGCAAACTCGCAAACAAATCGTGTTTTTTTTTTTGAACCCGGGCAGTTGAAGCTGGAAATATGCAACCATCAAATGTCACCATCGAATAGAATCTTGGAAATATGTTTGGAAGATGAGTTCAGCTGGCTTTTCTTATTGAAAGTATCTTAGTTAAACTACCTACTTAATTAGACCCTCCAAATCCCTCCAAGTACCCATAAAAATACGTTTGGATGATGCTTTTTGATGAAGTGTTGGTGATTTCCAATTTGAGAAGGGAGTTGTTTCACCATCAAAAAGAAGGGAATATCAAAGTTGAGTTGTGCCATTTATGGGGGGATTTAACCATCCATGATAGGTGTTGTGATGAATAGTTGGTGATTTAACTACTGAAGAACGGGTGAACGGAGTTTGGGCTTAGAAAATCATGCTATACCCTCTGGTAATTTAACATAGCTATTGAAAATCACCATTTTTAATGGGAAAATCCACTATAAATGGCCATTTTCAATAGCTATTTTGACATAACCAGAGGCTATACCCTACTCCCAAATTGGATAATTAGTTGAGATCAATCAGGGGCCCATCCCCATTTTTGGTCATCTCGTTGGGACGGGAAATTCCATCCATCTCTGCCATGGCTAAACCCATGGTTTAACTGTGTACCCTCTGGTAAACATACAAAAAGCTATTGAAAATGGCCATTTATAGTGAAATTTCCCATGAAAAATTGTGATTTTCCATAGTTGTTTGTATGTTTACCAAAGGGTAACTGTGTAAGATGACGAAAAATATCCAAATGGAACAGTTTTTTTTTTTAATGGCCAAGAACGGGAATCGTAAATGGAAGTGGATTCCTTGAAAACTCCATGGAAAACTCAACATCTTCAGAAGAGCGTTAATAATATTAATCTGGTTGGTGGTATACCCACCCCTCTGAAAAATGTGAAAGTCAGTTGGGATGATTATTCCCAATATATGGAAAAATAAAAAATGTTCCAAACCACCAATCAATAATAATTATGCACCGTTTCCACACACACCCATATACTTGATATACCTTGATATCCTTGACTTGTATGTGGATATGCTCCAACAATTTAACAATTTGCGTATACTCCGATTTGTGTAGCAAGAATCCTAGTTTTTCCCTGCTAATCCCCCTATTGATTATTTATACATGATACTGCTTCCCGATGTAACGTTGGTGTTTTTTCCCAGAGGATCCATGTATGGAATATTTACCTACATTGACCCCTAAAGTAATCTAAAATAATCCCAATGTAGGTAAATATTCCATACATGGATCCTTAGGGTTTGTCAGTAATTGTATAGGTCAAAACTCCGATGACTTCTGGCTATTTCTGGTGAAATGTTCGTTCTAATGGTAGAATCTGGAAAGATTTGCTGCTCCATGAACGTCCAACCACAGCCATATTCCATGAGCAGTGTTAAAAAAACCTATGATTTTCCGATATACTTCTGCTGCTTGATTACCCTCTGGTTATGTCAAAATAGCTATTGAAAATGGCCATTTATAGTGAATTTTCCCATTAAAAATGGTGATGTTCCATAGTTTTTTGTATGTGTACCAGAGATTAATAGGATTTCCCATAATGCATTGTGATAATCCCCAATTGATATTGGATAGTAATAGTATAACCCCATGCAATGATCAATAGGGATTTTGGTAAGAAAACATATCCATTATTCGTTGGTGAAAAATCATAGTTTGATTGGTGAAAGTCGCATGAAGATCCCATCTTTATCATTTTTCATGGTTAAATCACCCATCTTCACCCCATGTTTGATGGATTTTCAGTAACAAATCCATCAGTTTTCATAGTTTTCATGCTTAGTCCCAATGTTCCTCCATTTTTCATAGGTAAAATCCACATTTTTCATAGGTAAAATCCACATGTTCCACCATGTTTCATGGTTTTCACCCCAATTGTCCGCCATTTTTCGGTGAAAAAAATCCAAATCTCCTTGAGGCGGTGGCTCTTGGAAGCATAGCGCAGCAAAGACTGGGCGTGGTCCTTGCCGGTTGAGCCAACGTTAGATGGGAAAGTTAGTTGGGATTTAACCATGGTTAATAGTGATTAATAGTGATTAATAGTGGTTGATAGTGATTAATACCTGAAAGTTAAGGGACATTTCACCATTTAACCATCAATGGCCATTTCAGTGACATCAAAATGGTGGTTTAATATTTTTTTAATGGGACTGTCATGGGATATAAATATATATCTGGTTGGTGGTTGAGCCCTACCCATCTGAAAAATGATGGACGAAAGTCAGTTGGGATGATGATGACATTCCCAATATGATGGGAAAAATAATCCAAGTTTTCCAAACCACCAACCAGTATGTTTAATGCAGAAATTTGGGATTTACCATGATTTAACCATCAATCACCCTGTTTTATGGAGGTTTTAGTGGGAAAATCATCTACAAATTTGGATTTTACATGATTTAAGCCTCAAACGTGGTGCAACGATTGGGATTTACCCTCGGGATCCCTCTGGTTATTCAAACAGTTTGCTATGCTATAGATGGCCCATGAAAATAGATTATAAATAATGATTTTTGCCGAGCTTAAGAATTGTGATGTTCCATAGCTACGTTAAATAACCAGATGGTAATCATGAGAAATGCTGACTTATGGTTCATGTATACCAGGCAAGTTGGCTTATAAGCAGGTTCTACAGTTAAGTGTGGTGTATTTCATTGAATATAAGTAGATGGGTCTGTACACCAGCTTTACCAGCTTTTCTGATCCTAAATTTGATCCTCTTTGGTATGGCCATTTTTGCATGGTGAGATTGCCCGAGCGTGGCCACCCCACAACATACGAAAAATTGGATGCGAAGGAGTGAGAATTTAATCCACGATGGGGGTAAGGGGATCTAGTGATATACCTGGCCTGGTAAACATACAAATAGCTATTGAAGCCATGGCCCAGTCGAAATAGTGGATTTACCCATTAAAAAAAGGTGGTGATTTTCCATAGTGACGTTAGTTTACCAGAGGGTAAAATTTTGATTGTGCAAACAAATGCTATCTTCCCATGCAAAATTGGGGCCATAACATCCCACAAATACTATCCCATTAATAGGAACGGTTTTCCCGTCTGTCTGAAAATATGCCTCTTAATCCACTGGTTAATCATAATTGAACATAATTCTCCTGTTTGTTCATGGCAATTTAAAGGGCAAATCGCGTTTTCAGACACACCCAAATCTCATAGTGTGGGCTATATATTTCATTCTATCCTCATTATATATATATATAGTTGGTTAAATCCCGATTGCTTGGTGTGTAATTCCCTATTCTTGGTTGGTCATTCCAGACCCCCCCCATTAAAAATATATATAAACTATTACTGGTTGGTGGTATACCCACCCCTCTGAAAAATGTGAGTTCGTCAGTTGGGATGATTCTTC